CCTAATTGTTTATTTCATTTATAGGCCCGTCTGAATTCTCTTCTCTGTCTTCTCTAACAAGTTCATCGAGGAAACGTGATGCGCCATCTGCATCGGATTCTGGAGAGAAGGGTGATATCACTGTTGAGAAGAAACCCAAACCTCGCGAGTGATTAAACCGTTTTTGCATGGGAATGTTGTGATTTAGGTTTATATTTTTGGCTTTTATATCGTCTATTAATTATTGTCGTATAATTTTATTTATGACAGTTTTTAGGTTATGTTTTAGTTTTCTCTACTTTGTTTAATTCTGTTTGGTTTTTGTCTACCTGAACCGATATTCCCTTAATCCAATAAAAGTACTTTATTCGTAATATCGATCGGATAATTTGATGCAGTATCTGGCTTTTTCGGGAATAATATACATAAATATGATGATTGGTAGTCAAATTATAATTTATCTCAATTAATTTAAATGTATTATTATATTTTTAATAACTCCCTGATTTGTAATCATCTTTAGATAAATATGAGCAGATTTAGTCTAAATACACTTATCGCATATATGAATATAGAATACATGTTTTAGTTGGAAATTTTTCATGTATTATTTTTAAAAAATTTAGGGAACATAGTATTGTTAGATTACATGTGCTATTGTTTTGTGTGTGTATGGTCTGCGGTATATATTACTTACTGAATTTGACGCTTATATGTATTATAATTTTTTGGTTTTTTTAGTAAGTATATCTGTTTAATTTCTATATGTGTATTATAATTATCTTAAAGAAATGGAAGCAAATCTAGCCTATATAATTATCGTATATATAAATAAAGATTACATAGTTTAGTTGAGAATTTTACATATATTATTGTTAGAGTTTTGCATTTCATTGCTTGATAGATATATATATATATATATATATATGCCACTATTTTGTGAGTGTACGTTATGAGGTATATCTAACAAATTTATACCTATTTGCGACGAAAGCATGAAAGAAGTCAGGAAAAAAATGAGCAGCTCTAAAACAAAAGTCTCCGGTGTAGCCATGAAACGTAATCTTGGTTTGGTTTTAAATATATATGCGAATTTTTTCTTCTGTACTCATTTGTTTTTATATTTTCGTTGCAGGTGTTTTGACAAGAAACCAGCGATATGCTCATGGAAATACTGCATATGTGTCTCCTTTTGTCCATTATACAAATCTAGATAACTTAGGGAGGGGACGTTATGGAGAAGATATAAAAAATAGGCTGGCAATCATGAGGTTCAAGAAAACTCAGAATATTGGTCTGTGATCTCAAAAAAAAAAAATTTGTATTCTTGCGCTTAATTTGCCACCTTTGTATTAATCTATCTATGTTTTCTGTATCAGGCACATTATCATCTTATTCTTATATTGACGATTTTGTTGCTTTTGTGCCCACTGATTCTGAGCCCGACGGCGACCGTGACGATGTTCCTTGTCATAGGCGTTCTCGAAGAGATGGGAACTCGGACGAACCCATTTTTGATACCGATGTCGTCGCGGATTCTAATGGTAAGGATTGTTTAGTAAATCGTGTTGCAATGTTAATATTTGTTGTGTTATGCTACACTATTGTTTTTTGTAGGTTATGTTGATGAGGGTGATCATGTTCATGTCTATGGCAATTGTCGGGCTTACATGTGGATTGGTGAACGTTTACAAAAAAAAAGAGTAAGAAAGGGAACTCCACGTTTCTCGATCAATTGTGGACAAGGTAAAGTTGACCTCCCACTTTTTTGCCCTCCTCCGAAAATCTTGCTGGCCTTGCTTTATAATAGTGAACAAGAGAGGTGCAAAAACTATCGTGAGAATATAAGAGCATATAACATGATGTTTTCGATGACTTCTCTAGGTGGAAAAATTAATCACTCGATTAATGATAGTAAGGTCCCTACGTTTTTCAAATGCACGGTGAAAACTACCATCGCATCGGTTATATGCTTCCGAACGATAGTGAACATCCTGCCTTTTTGTAGTTATATATTCATGATACTGATAATGAGGTCTCTAACAGAATCAAAGCTTGTGGGTAATAGTTTGAAATTTTTTTTCTTTGTTTTCAATTCCGATTTGTTATGTTCTCATTGAATTTTTGTTAAAAACTAAAACGAAACCACAGGAAATCTCAAGCGAATGGACAGATTAGAAAGGATATAGTTGAGTGCTTAAAAAAAATGTTCGATGGTTATAATCCACATGTGAAAACACTAAGGATTGCATCTGAAAGGTTACATTCAGAAGATAATATTCAAAGTCTGCGGTTGGTTTTAAAAAGTGAGAGACAGCTCGATGGCAATATACATAATTTGCCAACCGAGAATGATATTGCTGGTCTTATTCCTGGAGGTTTTGAGTTGGGTGTTAACACATGTGATATTGTTATTGAAACTAAGGACGGTAGTTTACATAAAATCAATGAGCTGCATCCTGCTTATTTGGCACTGGATTTTTTTCATGATATTTTACGGTCCGCATAGACTGTGCGGACAAATCACCTAGTACTTTGTAAGAGACGTCCATGTGATACTTTTGATGATTCAAAATTCTTTAAATAATTAAAATATAATTAAATAGTTGAGTTTTATTAAATTATTAATATTAATTAGTTTAAATACCCAGTTTAGAAAGAGATGTTTTTAGAAAAGAGGTTTTCAACAATAAATATTATTATTTTAATATAATTTATTATGTATAATTAAATTTTAATATCGTAAAAAATTAATCTAATTAAAATAAGATAATTAAAATTAGAGACTTATGAGATTCCATCATTACACTTATACATGTATTAGAGCATAGCATTAGTAAAAAATACTTTCAGCATATCTAACAAATATAATAATATAATAATTGTAATATAACTTATTATGTAATTAGATTTTAAATCATTAAATGAAACAACCACTAATTTTTTTTATGTGAACCCGTTCTTAATTGACATGTGACTAGAGACGTTTCTAAAGATATCTCATTTGCAAAAGGTTTTGATTCTTTCTCTTCATTTTTTATTATCCTAATACTTTGTAAGAAACGTCTAATGTGTGCTTTTAATGATTCAAAATTCTTTATATAATTAAAATATAATTAAATAATTGAGTTTTATTAAAATATTAATATTAATTAGTTTAAATACCTAGTTCAGAAAGAGATGTCTTAGAAAAGGGGGTTTTAACAATAAATATTTTTATTTTAATGTGATTTATTATATATAATAAAATTTTAATATTTTTAAAAATATAATCCAATTAAAATAAGACAAATGGTTTTATGGTATCTCATAAGTTGAAAACCCGTTCTCGTTTAAGAATTTTTAAAATTTTTTCTACTATTTTTTTTTTATTTTTTGATTTATTTTTCTTTTTTAACAGTGAGATATATTTCCTGCGTGAACACAAAGCAGTTTAAAAGGGCACTTCCTGCAATAGTGGTTCCAAATCAAACTGTTTTTATTAAGGACAGACTTCTCATTGAGAATGTTCTTCTGGCAGCGGAGATCTTACAAGGTTACCACCTCTAATCAAACATTCCTTGTTTTACTCTAAAGGTGGATATTTCTAAGGTTTTTGATTCTGTTAGATGAGATTTTGTTTTGGCATCCCTTCAAGCTTATCATGTCCCGGGCCTGTTCATTCAAATGGATAAAAGTTTGTATCTCTTCGCCAGTTTTCTCCATCTGCATAAATGGTGTAACCTCAGGTTACTTCAAAAGAAAATATGGATTAAGGCAATGTGACCCTCTATCGCCCATCTTGTTTGTGCTGATCATGAAAGTCCTCTCGTGAATGCTTAACAAAGCAGCAAAAGATGGGATCTTCAAGTATCACCCAGGTTGTGAATCCCTGGAACTTATGCGTCTCTCTTTGTTGATGATCTCCTAATCTTCCTAGAGGGTTGTGAAACTTTGCTGGCAGGGGTCTTCCTTTCTCAGTTTGAAAAATTGTCTGGCTTGTCAGTTATTGTCTCAAAATCGTCTTCGTTTAGCTCATGAGTTCAGGATAACGTGCTCCTCAACATCAAAAATAAATTCCTGGTATCGCCTGAAGCTCTCCCAATCCGCTACCTCGGTTTGCCTTTAATTTCCAAGCGGCTAACTGTAAAGGACTGTGACCCCCTGATTTCTAAAATCAGAATGAAGATGAGCTCCTGAACTCACAGGCACTTAAGCTTCGCAGGACGTTTGCGGCTTCTGTCGTCTGTCATCTCTGGTATTGTCGGTTTTTGGACTTCGGTTTTCTTGCTCCCTAAGCAAGTTTTGAAACGCATTAACAGTCTCTCGAGTTCCTTCCTATGGCATGGATATGTTGACAAGCCTTCGGGAGCTCGAGTATCTTGGGACAACATCTGTTACCCTAAATCTGAGGGTGGTTTTGGTCTGAGATCCCTCTCATCATGGAACGATACTTGTGCCCTTAAGCTCATTTGGATGCTTTTCTTCAGAGCGGGTTCTATTTGGGTAGCATGGATCAGGAACAAATACTTATCTTCAGCCACAGATTTTCTTGGATGTTTTGGAAGATCCTTAAGCTGCGGCACAAGGCTTTGGCCTTCTTACGCATCAAAATAGGAAATGGCGAGGACACTTTTCTGGTGGGACCCTGATACACCTTACGGTATCAAATACAGCCGACGTTAAAAGGGTTAGATAATTAAGCAGTAGTTTTTTCTTTTTTTCAAATAAAATAATTAGAGCTTTTTCCTTTAAAGGGGTTTTACGTTTAGGGAGTTTTCCTTTTCATTCATTGTATCGTGGTCTATATAAAGGGTCTGCTATGTTTTAATAAAGATAATCTTCCAACTATTAACCTTATTCTCAAAGAGAGACTAGGGTTAAAGGAAGTTTAAGCTAATATTCTCTAAGTGATCACGTTAATCACGGCTCCAAGAAAGAAGAAGTTACCAGCTCCGACTACTAGACTTACACGAGCCCAAGCAAAAGCTAAAGCTGAAGCAGGAGTTTGTATCAATTTGGTATCAGAGATCAACGATCCAATGACGGACATGACCACAATCGCGACTCAACTTGCTCTCATCATGGAGTGCTTGCAGAGTTTGGATGAAATCAAGGAGAAGGTACAAGTCCTTACAGACAGAACCAAAACTCTGGAAGCAATCGCTTCAGCTCAATGCACGGACTCTGGACTTCAAAAGGGCAAAGCTACAGCAAGTAATTTACAACAGGGACCGACAGTTAAATTCTCCACGGAAGAGCTATCCGAAGTTGAGGGTTTAAGTGCGACTAAGGGAAGCAGAAGAAGTACCTTGCCAACAGCACCAGAAGCAGGAACTTCAGCAAAAACTACTAAACACGTACCAGCCTTGGGTGGAGGGTTGATAAGAGATGAGCACAAGATAGTTGTCTCGGGTAGACCATGGCCCACAAGAGCTGTAGGGAGAGAGCGAGACCAGCGACACACTGATGGTGGAGGGGAATGGCATGTGCAGCCAATAGGTGCAGCAACTCACGAGAACCGGCCAAATTACGCTGCGGGAGATTTCCGAGTGCAGGAAGAAAGAACTTGGAAAGGAGGTTACGAGGCTCATGATGACAGAGATTTTAGCCCTGAGCAGTGTGTCGTTCCAGCAGCAAGGATAGAGTTCCCATCGTATGATGGTACAACAAACGCTGTAGAGTGGCTACAGAAGTGTGATGACTATTTTGCAGATCAGAGAGTCTTCAATGATGACGCCAAAATCAGACAAGCAACATTCGTCTTAACAGGGCAAGCCTATCATTGGAACAACAATCTCCGACGACTAGTCACTAATAAGTTAAGTTGGGGGGAGTTTAAAAGAATTTGCAAAAGCCGTTTTGGCAGAGCAGACTCCGTCAATCCAGTGAGGGAATTGTCTAACCTAAGACACACAGGGACGGTCGATGACTACTGTAACCAGTTTGAGGAGTGCTTAGGGCAACAAACCAGACTCACAGGAGATCAACAACTATGGTAGTTCTGTACAGGATTGACGGACAGCTTGCACAAGGAAGTAGAGTATCTTCGTCCTGAAACAATTTTTGCAGCAATGGAGTACGTAAGAGATAACGAGTATAAGATTGAAGGGGAAAAAGGATACGAACATTTGGAGGACATCTAGCACCACCCACGAAACAAGCTACTATAACAACAAAAACGACAATAGAAAAGAAGGGGGTGCGGGAACGAAGGGCTAAAACAACCATCACAAAAGAAGTACTGGAAAAAATTAACGAGGGCAGAGATGGCTGAGCGACGAGCCAAGGGGCTTCGTTTTAATTGCGATGATCTCTACACAAAGGACCATGAATGTATCCCGGTTCTCTTCTACATTATGCCTGTTATGGATGGGGATGATCAAGAAGATGTCCCGATTGAAGAAGAAGAGCTAGAGATTTCCCTGAATGCAATGAACGGAAAGCAGACGGAAACTACGTTTCAGGTTCGTGCAGACATGGCAACCGGAAAAGGTTGGGTATTACTCGATACTGGGAGTACTCATAACTTTATCAAGAGTAGTCTGGCAGAGAAACTGGGGATCCCAATGACATGTAAACCAAGACGGTTTGTAGCCTTGCCTAATGGGGGACGGTGTCCTATTATGGGGTTCTGCAAGGGTATAGCAATGTGTGTTCAAGGACACAAATTTCAAGCCGACTGTTTTGCAATTCCATTGAATGGTTTCGAGATAGTTCTCGGGATTCGTTGGCTAAATGCATTAGGGCGTGTAACTTGGGATGGAATAACCAAAACAGTAGAATTCCAAACCCCAACTGCAACAATCAAATGGCAAGGAGAGGCAGCAACAAGAGGGAGTGAAGCAACTGCGTTGAATGCAATTAGCAATGGGACAGACCATTTGGAAACCTGGTTCACAGACGAGGAAGAGATCTTCACAACGTCAGGGACAACACATACGCAGCAACACCAAGAGAATCAAACAATTTGGTCTCTTACTACCAACACCATACCTACGCTGTTAAAAGTTGTCTTAGAAGAGTTTTCAGAAGTTTTTGCAAAACCAAGTGGGCTACCTCCAAAACGAAGTTGTGATCATCGTATACGACTTCTACAAGGATCAAACCCAGTAGCCGTCAGACCCTATCGCTACCCACATCTGTTAAAAGATGAGATTGAGCGACAATGTGCCGAAATGCTACGCAATGGCATTATTCGTCCAAGTAATTCTCCTTTTTCGTCACCGGTGTTGTTAGTCAAGAAAGCTGATAATACATGGTGCTTCTGTATTGATTTTCGGGATCTCAATAAAATCACCATCAAGGATAAATTTCCCATACCGGTGGTGAATGAGCTCTTAGATGAACTGCATGGGGCTCGTTTCTTCACCAAACTCGACCTCGCTTCAGGATATCATCAGGTTCGAATGTGTGAGGAGGATATCAAGAAAACAGCATTTCGTACACACCATGGACATTATGAGTTCTTGGTAATGCCATTCGGACTGTCAAATGTGCCATCAACGTTTTAGAGTCTAATGAATTCAGTATTCAGTAGCCTCCATAGCAAGTTCGTGTTGGTTTTCTTTGATGATATTCTGGTTTACAGTGCAATGTGGGCAGATCATATATTGTATGTGCGTCAAGTTTTCCAGCTTCTACGGAAGCACAAATTGCTCTTAAAACTGTCTAAGTGCTCTTTTGGACAACGAGAGGTGGGTTACTTAGGTCATGTTATCTCATATGAAGGGGTCCAAGTCGACAAAACCAAAATAGTTGCAGTTACAGAGTGGCCCCAGCTACAATCTGTTAGAGCAGTTCGAGGATTCTTGGGACTTTCAGGCTAATATCGAAAGTTTATAAGAGATTACGGTATTATTGCAGCTCCCTTAACTCGTCTCCTTAAGAAGACAGGATTCTGATGGGACAATGATGCTGAGAGTTCCTTTCAAAAGCTTAAAAAAGCACTCTCGGAATCACTTGTTTTAGCACTTCTCGATTTTTCTCAAGAATTTGTCGTCGAGTGTGACGCATCAGGGAGTGGCATTGGGGCGGTGTTACAACAATATGGGCATCCGATAGCTTTTTTAGTCGAAAATTGGCAGAACGACATTACAAGTTAGCAGCATACGAACGGGAATTGATTGGGCTAGCTAAAGCTGTCATCCATTGGCGACCGTATTTGTGGGGACGACGTTTCCGAATTCTGACAGATCATTACAGCCTCAAATTTCTCTTAGAACAGCGTTTGTCGACGTCACCTCAAATACATTGGATCAGCAAGATGTTGGGGTATGATTTCAGTGTGGATTTTCGCTCTGGTTCAACAAACAAAGTGGTTGATGCTTTGTCTAGAAGAGGTGAAGATGTAGCAGAACAAGATTGTGAGATATATACTTTGCACAACTCGGGTAACGGAATTTTCGTACGACTGTGCGCCGAGGTAAACGTCAATACGAAGTTAGCAGACTTGCGAGACCGGGTCATTCGTGGTGAGGAATCTGCAGAGTGGGAAGCTCGTGATGGCCTTATCTTTCGCAAATGGCAAGTTTATATGGATGTAGATTCACCTCTGATACAAGAAGTGCTGGCGGGTTTTCACAATTTTGGCCATGAAGGAGTTCAAAAAACTATGGACCGTATCCGACGAGATTTTTATTGGCAAGGGTGGAAAAAAGCAGTTCAGGATTTTGTTGGGAACTGCCAGATATGCAAGAAAAACAAATGGGAGACTCTTCAACCAGCGGGGTTAATGCAGCCATTAGCGATTCCAACAAAAGTCTGGTCTGATATTTCGATGGATTTTGTGGAAGCATTACCTAGTCGCGGGCAAAACGGTGATTCTAGTCGTTGTCGACTGTTTCTCCAAATATGCTCACTTCATAGCATTGAGTCACCTTTACACGGCAACTACAGTGGCGCAAGCATTTTTCAGTGACATTGTTCGCTTGCACAGAATACCGGAGACCATTGTCACTGATCGAGATAAAATCTTCCGAAGTCTTTTCTGGCGAGAGCTATTCAAGCTGTTGGGAACTGATCTATGTTTTACAACAGCTTATCGACCTCAATCTGACGGTCAAACGGAGGTTGTAAATTGAACCTTAGAAATGTACTTAAGATGTTTAATAGGTGACGTACCGCGACAGTGGCTTCGTTGGCTACCTTGGGTTGAATATTGCTACAACACATCTTTTCATACGAGTTTGAAAGCAACACCATTTAGGGTGGTGTACGGGAGAGAACCACCACGACTGTTGGATTATACTGCAGGGAAATCACAAGTTAAGGCTGTGGATATTGCACTAGAGCAACGAGACGAGTTTGTTAAGATGGCGAGGAAACGATTGCTGGAAGCTCAATAAAGAATGAAGACGGCTTATGATCGCCATCACCGTTCAGAAGAGTTTCGTGAGGGAGATTGGGTGTGGCTCAAAATTCAACCGTATCGGCAATTGACAGTGGCTCGTAAAACTTTTACAAAGCTTTCTCCAAAGTTTTATGGTCCATTTGAAGTGCTTTCTCGGTGGGCACAGTCTCCTATCGGCTTCGTCTTTCAGAAGGAACTCAGATACACGATGTGTTTCATGTGTCACTCCTAAAGGCATACAAAGGGCCTGTTCCTGAGAATAACGCCACACTTCCTCTGGTTTTACAAGGGCGGGTTGTTCCAGCAAAACCAGCCAAACTTCTTCGGGCAAGGCAGCGCAGTGGGATTCGACAAGTACTCACGAAATGGACAGATAATACTGAAGATGACTCCACTTGGGAGGATGCAGAGAAGTTACTCGAAGCATATCCAGAATTGGAGCTTGAGGACAAACTCCTAGTCGAGGAGGGGAATAATGATACACGTTACGGTATCAAATACAGCCGACGTCAAAAGAATTAGATAATTAAGCAGTAATGTTTTTTTTTTCAAATAAAACTAAATTAGAGCTTTTTCCTTTAAAAGGGTTTTACGTTTAGGGAGTTTTCCTTTTCATTCATTGTACCGTGGTCTATATAAGGGGTTTGCTATGTTTTAATAAAGATCATCTTCCAACTATTAATCTTATTGTCAAACAGAGACTAGGGTTAAAGGAAGTTTAAGCTAATATTCTCTAAGTGATCACGTTAATCACGGCTCCAAGAAAGAAGAAGTTACCAGCTCCTACTACTAGACTTACACGAGCCCAAGCAAAAGCTAAAGCTGAAGCAGGGGTTCGTATCAGACCCTTGGACTCCTTAGTCTCCTTTCGGTTGCCTCATGAATTACTTAGGCCCTGATGCTCCAGCTTCATTTGTTATTCCCTCTTCATCGCTTGTTAGTGATGTCATATCACCGGAAGGTTGGTCTCTTCCTCATGCCCATTCATATAAGGTTCTCCAAGTTTTGAGTTTCATTACAACTATTCAGCCAACGCCTGTTACTGATTCCACTCAATGGTGTATTGGTGATAAAATCTACAACTCTTATATCTCTAAGGACATCTGGAACACAATTCGGGAAGCAAAACCACAAGTTCCCTGGTTTTTGATTATATGGCACAAAGCTTTAGTGCCAAAACATGCTTTGCTATCTTGGTTGTTTGTTCTGAATCGGAATCCTACTCTGGACAGGCTATTCAGTTGGGGTCTTGATGTGGAACAAACATGTCTTCTTTGTGGCTTGGAGAACGAGTCCATAAATCATCTATTTTTTTGACTGCGCCTTCTCTTCTCAAATCTGTTTGGATATTCTCTCCAGGTTCGACTTTCAAAACGTTCTGACAAACTGGGATCTCACGTTGTCTTGGCTCGCCACATCCACATTGGATCCTGCTATTTCCCTAGCTCTTCTTCAAGTCTAGCAATCTTGTCTATATGAGATTTTGAGAGAACGAAATAACCGCTACCACAATGGTCTCACGCCGCCTACGGCGGTGGTTCCCACTTCCCAGAAAGGTATATCTTGTAGTCCGAACGAAGGCTATGACCTTGAAGAATTTAGACAAAAAGCATGGGGAAGCTTTGCTCGCCTTATGGTCGGCCCACAGCTGATTGTCTCTTCTTACCCTCTTCTCTCCTCTCAATCTCTTACATAGTTTGTTCCTCTTCGACGGGTACCCTATGCTTTCCCTCTCTCTCCATTATGTCGCCTATTTATCTTTTTTTTTTCTCTGTCGGTTTTACTTTGATTTCTTGTAAGATCTGTGTTTATTTATATCTAATGAAGGCCCTTTAACAAAAAAATAAAAAAAATAGTGAGATATTTTGGTGTGAACCCAGTTACTCTTAGATCTCCAAAAATGTAAGCACTGCACTAGAGCAGATCTCTTTTTCCGAGTCTTGATGTCCTTGATTTTTTTTTAAAATGTTGATTTGGCGCCTAAAGCGGTAAATCTTCACGGACTAATATTTTACGGAATACAATAGTCCTAGCTAGAGGATTGGTTTAATTTGCTTAAAATTGAAATTTAACTCTGTTAAAAAAGAATCCGCTGCATTTTAATCTTGCTATAACAGAATGTAGAGTACGACATATTTAGCATATATACCAGAAAAAATATTTATTTAAACTAGATATAACAGAATGTAGGGTAACCAGAAAAAAGATTTGTTTAACAAAAGCATTTGTGCATGTCGACAGAAGAATCAAACTAAACTGAAAACTCCACAAAAGAAACTATACACTCTCTTCTCCTTATAAACTATACATCGTCCGTTTATACCTAAACATGTTTGAGAATGGTGTTTTCTGTTTCACACATCCTAAAGAAGCCACAGTATATATATTTTATGCTGTTATGCTGCGGAAGGATCAAGTTTACGTAAAAGTATAGAAAACTCCTTGGTCAAATCTTCATGATAATAGAGAAGGTCAATGACCTGCAAGATATTTATACACCAAATTAAACCAAGAAAGAAAATATCACAAGTGCACTGCCACTCTAAATAATCGACCATGGACACCTACCTCCTTGCGTATCACCTTTAAGGACTTCTTTCTCCCTTCGTACATGTTCACTGTCGCGAGAATTGATTTATATACATAACTATCAACGCCCTCGAATCTTGTTTGCATATCCACGAATTCGTTATATATATATAAGTCACAAAGTTAGCAAAGAAGGAAATATCCAAAAATGGTCTCTATTTTACCGTTTTAGCAATTTATTCCTTAACGTTCTTCAGAAAAGTCTCTATATCCCGGAAGACACTTAATCCCTGAAGCAAATTCCCGTGACCTTTCATGAGTTGAGTCATCTCCACCATGGCTCTAGATCCATCGATTCTAAGAAAAGAGAATCATCCATTTCACATTGAGATTTGTTGTGTAGATTAATGTGAGTTGATAACAAAATTAGGGAGAGGAGGATGATTCATACCTATTAGCGGTAACATTTCCGGCGATCCTCAAGAAATCATCAAATCTTTCAGGTTCATCATGAAATGATTCGTACACAGAAGCTACGTATAAAAGTGCATCATCCATCGTTAGCTTCCGTGATACGCTTCCTCTAATCAATGGTTTGAAATTGCCCTGACCCTATTGTTATCCATAGAAAAAGGGTTTTATTTTTAAAACAGATCAATCATCATCATTCGACTTTTGATTCCTAGAAGAAATAGAATCTTATTATTCTTCAAGAACACTAATCTACAAAGACTAGAAACCACATTTTCATTGGGCTATAAACCATGAGGACATGATAAATCAAGATTACATTCGAAAAACTAATCAAAAGAACAAAACAACTGATAAAGAACTCATAGCGCTTCTTGTCGAGAACGGAAAAATAAATCGTCGTATCGTATTGGATGATTCACGTAAATTACGTCTTCAACACTAAAAAAAATCATGTAGATTTAATCGATCAGTGATGTAAGCATCAATGCTTATATCAAGAAGAAACACAAAGGAGATGAGCTAGAACCTGTTTTGCTTGAAGATAAGGAGCAAATGAGATATGTAGCTGTTTTCAAAGGAACTAAGGACTTAACAACAAAACATTGTCGTTCTATGCAGCAAGGCGGACGTTCTGATCAAGCTAAACCATGGCTGGGCCAGTTTAATTTACAAGAAGACCAAGCCAAACCACTAGAACCACCAAATCACATGAATGGACCAACATTCATGTTTTCAAGACCATTTAAGGAAACTTCCACCATATCTTATATCACCACGCCTCATTTACATTCTTTGGCATGTTATGAAGATACCAAGAGCTCTAAACCACCAGACCAAGCCAATAACCAAGTCAAAACATTCCAAACCGAAGAAGATATCACCATGAAGACAGTAAGCATGTTAACTTTGCTCCAAAGGGAAACTATGACCAACAACTACTCTCTCTCAGCAATCTCGACCCTCCATCCTCTAAAGAAGATCCTGGACGTTCATACAAAGATCAAGACCACAAGATTCGTTCCCCCTCTCTCATTGCCCCAAATCAAGCATTTTTTCCCCTTTATGCCCAAAGACTAGCTACAAGTCAAGCCAAACTTTATGCTTTGTTTTTACACTGCATTTTGAGCACTATATAAGCTCATAAGCTTGTACTTTCATACCCACAAAATTATTTAATCAAAAACCTTTTATTTGTTTCTAAAAGAAAATTTTCTTTTGAACTAATTATGTTCGTGTTTATTACTAGTTTTTCAAGAGGGATTCTTAAAACTTGTAAAGAGTGTAGAGACCAGTGTTTTTGTGAGGATTAGCTCTTGAACATTAGAATCTAAACCCTTTGTGTTTGGAGTTCAAGCACAGCTGGCCAACCAACCATCTAGCCATTCAACTATCAAAGACTTCTAAGCAAAGATTTCAAAGGGACATTACTTGGAGCATTTCAAGTATTGTATCAATCAGCATATTTATAACATTGGAAATCAATCACGATAGAAAGAAAACAGAAGAAAGATGATAAAGAAAGTTGAAAAAAGAAATCGAGAAACGAATCGAGATCAGATAACCAGAAGAATTTATCGTAACCTAATCATCAGACATGAACGAGAAAGGATAAAACTGAAGGAGGAATAAGAAGATGGGCGAATAGTTACCGAAAGTAGAAAAAAATAAATCGAGAAACGAATCGAGATCAGAGAACCAGAAGCTTCTTCCTCTTCGCAGAGTAACTTCAAGATTCTCAGAATCAAACTCACTGCGACTGTTTGGACTTGTTTACGCCAGTGTATTTATAATTAATACGAAAAATGGTATTTGAATCGTATTTGTTGTTTTATTTTTGTTAATTATATATTGTTGTAATTTACAGCTTTCTATAACTAGTACAACCTGTACGTATACGATGAAGAAAAACACTTTGTTAGTAAAATCTGTGTAACTGAAATTTACAGCTTTCTATATACGATGAAGAAAACACTTTGTTAAATTAATAAAAAGTAATAAAATAATACTTCTCATTAATATCTATCCATTATTTGAGAAAATTAATGTACATACTTTGTCTATTTAGTTAAAAACTTCAAAATATTTAAATTTTGTAACTATATATAAAACTAGATGTTTGAACATTTTCACAAAATCTGTGATTTATTTCAAAATTTTGATATGCCCAGTGACGATCAATTTCTTTCATTTCGCCTTTATAAATAGGAATTTAGTCATTGACATGATTTAAAATTAGTTGGATTTTTTTTTCGTTGAACAGTTAGTTGAATTAGATTGTTTTTTTGTTTAGTTAGGTATTTTGTTGTTAAGTTAAAAAAAAAGGGTATTTTGTTGCATTAACTAGAGTCTTGAATCCGATAGCTTTAAATTAGTTAAATTTTAAATTTAAATTACACACGTGCGGAAATAACACACTTTGAATTTTTGACCATACAGAATATATGCATAGATAACTTTATTAATATTTTAATAGATTTTATTATATCATTTTATTAACAAAATAATCCTCAGTTGACATAAATAAGTTCAGAGCTGGCATGTAGATAACTTTCTTGGTAACAATCATTACATTTTCATAGTTGTATATATACAATATAAATAAAATATGTTGAAATTACTGAAAATTGGTAAGTTTGTAAACATATGCATTTTTTTTACAAATTTTTATAATATGAAAAAACATTAAGCTTTATAAAGAGTCATGATTAAAACTCGAAATGTTTAATCTGTAAAACGTAAATATGATAAACTAAAAAAACATATATAATGAAATCTAAATTCTATATGGGAAACAACGTAAAGTATGACAACTATAATTAATATATATCAATATAAATCTAAATTCTAGATAGAAAATAACTAATATGAGAATGACGAATATAAACGTAATAGCGTAAAGTATAATAATACACATTAGAAAAACCAACCCCTAAATTGTATTGAGAGAACCTACACACAATGGCTTGACTATCCAATACAGTACCTACCCAACAATAGTATTATAAACATATTTATGCATAAAAAGAAATTGGCGAGTTAACCTGCAAATAATTATTTTCTCAAGTTATATCATAATTTGTGTCATTCAAATTTTACTGTTTCAATAGAAATTTCTGTATATATAATAAATTTAAGTAACATTTACAGTGCATTATTGCTAGTAATAGTATGAATAAAATAGATTACATTATTATTATTAACTTTTTTTTCAACAACTTTGATATTACAACGGTTCATAAATCTAAATCAGGAGAGATTACATTAGTATTTAAAAAAAAAACAATTATAAAATGGTAGCCTTTCAAAAGAAAATGCCATTCTCATGGAAAAATAAGAATAAAATCGTAAAATACATAATACAAGAGACTATATTCTTGTACACATTTTTGAAGGCAATATTTCTGTAAGTACCTCCAAAAAAGAGGTTATGCTTTAGATTTGGACAGCATTCTGATGCTTAAGATTTATACACACGTAATTCCACCTTCGTATTCTTTGACAAACATCATACTGAACCTTAGACCCAATCACCCATCACTTATAAATATTTCTAAATATATAGTATTAGAAAGGATAATTAGGGTGTTATTTTTGATTATTATAAGTAAATCAGCACACTAAAAACACCAATATACACATCAAATTTTTTAATCTTTTTAAAACTGATACCTAATCAAAATTAAAAACCAATTA